AAAACAAATAGATCTATTTTTTGTTAATTAACTGTTTTATATGAATTTTAAAAATCCCATTACTAAACTAATAAGAGAATATTTGAAACAGAAAAATTATAAATTTATTTATAAAAATCACTTTATTTAAAAAATAATTTATCACTTTTTCCTTTTCCCATGCTCCCCCTATTTTAAATGCTATAATCTTTTGTGAAGGTTTCGTGTTTATATAAGTGTCAAATTAATGTCGAGTCTATTCTTAAAATTATCAAAATATTAGGCAATTAAAATTTATTTACACACAGTTCATTATATAGTAAATTTGATTCCGTTGATAAGGTATCACAACAAAATTAAAAACTTTCAAGATATCTAAATTTAGATGAATAAATCCTTTATTATTTTCCTTTTAAATTTAATTATTCTATTGAATGTACAAAGTGAAGGAAAATTAATTAAGGTTGAACTGAAGATCAAAGATGATTGGGAAGAAAAAAGAGAATTTATTTATTTAAAAAATGTTGAATTAAAGGAGCGTTTTGTATTGAAAAAAATTGAAAAAAGTAATAATAGATTTGATAGTAGCTACAATTGTAATATAGAAGAATTTTTGCTTTTGGTTGAATTTAACTTGAATAGAAATATTTTTATTTTGTATGTAAATAACAGAACATATATTCCATCTGTCCAATTAAAAAGAAAAGTTTTGATTGAAATAGACAATAATGAAATCATTGAAAATTTATTGCCTGGATTTGAAAAGCGGGTACCTTACATATTTTTAATGTCCGGATATTAAAACCCACTAATTAATGGATTTTTATTCCAAGAATTCATAGATTAATTTAAATTGAACATACAAATAAACCATTTGTATAACAATTTTTAATTAAGAAGCTCCGATATAATAATTTTATTATGACGAACAAAAATCATTATGAAACTTCTATATTAGATGAAAGTTTCGAAAATATAAAAATAAATAAAAAAGAATTATTAAATACAAATATAGAATCTTATAAAAGCAAACTTTTATCGAGTTATTTGTCAGAAATTAATTTAATTGGATATAAAATTGAATTGTTAGAAAAGCAAAAAGTTGTATATCCGAAGGAAGAATTAAAAAGTAGAATTATTGACATTGGAGATAAAATAAGTGAATATTTTTAACGTTTTATTAGTTAAAACACCTGTAGTAAATAACAATTTATTTTAACTTTATAGGTGTAATTAATTTAAAGAAAAGACGAGATTGTTTCAATTGTGGTGTTAAACAAATTAAATCTTGGTGGCAAAAATATCTCAAAGAACACTATTTGTGTAATACTTGCGGTGATTATATTCAACAATATGGAAAGCATAGAAATAAAAGCTTATTTATTAAGACTAAAAAGGTTCGCTATTATTAGATATCGTTAAAATCGGATTTTTTTGATTTCATAAAGGATAAGTGTCGTAATCACCTTTTTATTTTCAACTGAACCAGTTGAATTCCATGATTTTTTGTGATTGATATAGGTGGTTGAGGAATTTTGATAGATAAATTGTGCTATACTTTTATACGCCTTCATTATGCTTTTCTTCACTTTACTTCTCCATTTTAAAAAAATAACAATGGCAAAGGCAAATAAAGCTAGGTTTAAGTTAATGTAAACCACTAAAATCATCATTGAATGGAACTCCACATAAAAACAGACTTTTTATTAGTAATCTAAGGACGATCGTAAATGTTTTATTTGCGGTGTTACTCATACTTCACACTGGTACCGTTATTCAATACCTGAACAAAGTTTATGTACTGCTTGTTACAAAAAACAGCAAAGAATATATAAATCGAATAAAAATAAAAAAGTCGGTGTTGATTTTTTTCAAAATTTTATGTAATTTTTAATTTAGATCGCGTAGGTAAGAAAATACTATTTAGAGACGTCATATAACGTCCAACGACTGAATTCATAAGTAGAATATTATTTAGAATGTATAAAAAAATGAACTTTTTACTCACTTTTTTGATAATTTTTTTACACTTTTTTTACTTTAACAATTATTTAACAAAAACAGGCTTTATGTAAGTCTTTTCTTATTGTCATAACTTTCTCAAAATTAATAAAAACTGATAATTATTTTCTGTTTTATTCCCAACACTGTACCACATTGCTGATACCAAAATTGCTTTTAAATTTTAAGATTAAGTTTTGAATAAATAAAAAGATTAAGTTTGACATTATCGTTAAGTTTGACATTATCGTTTCTACTCTCCATATAGCCATATAAAAATAGACACGGCATTTAAAATCGACTCTTGAAAAATTTTTTCACTGTAAAAAATTATGAAAAAAAGTATTGGACAAATTGCCAATGAAAACTCATTCAGTTCACATTTGGCTAGAAGAATTTCCTTTAATCTCGCCGAGCTCTTTAACACATAAGATATATAATGCTATAGTCCATCTTTTGGAAAATCCTTTCAAACTTGTTAGAAGAATTTCAGACGGAATCAGGACTGTGTGGACTGAGTGAATAACCTAGAAAGCCTACCATTTACATCAAAACGGAAACCAAACATAATAGTTAAAATATAAAATTAAATATAAAACCAAATAAAAATATAAAAATAAATATAAAAATATAATATAAAATATAAATTATAAAACTTAACATAAACCAAACATAATAGAAACCAACCATAATAGCGTCACAAAATATTCTTTGTCCCACATGATATTTAGAACCCTCAAATTATGGGTGAACATTGAGATATGTAAGTGAATTTCCTATAGTTTAACTTATTTCTGTCAAATAAGAAAGTTGCTTAAATTAATTTAACTCTAGTTTAGGACATACGTCCCATTAGCTTTTAAGCGTCACAAAATTATTATATGAGTCCCATGAGAGTAAATGTAATACACACAATAAACAAAGGTGCTAATATAAAAATGAACCCGAAGATCTTGTAATTTTTTTGAAATAAAAATATTTAAGTAATTAAAAGTTTGAATTAAAATGCATGACTGATGCTTCTAAGCTTCCCAGTTATTTTTTAAGCGTAAGACGGAATTTAATTATATCATCTAATATTCACCAAGAAAATATACGAAATATAAAGAAAAGATGGTTTGATAAACACTTCGAACCAAATAAAAGAAATTAGAAGTCGGAGATTAACTTTATTTTAATAAATACATTAAGAAGTGAGATATTAAATGGTTACCTAGAAAGGTAAGTTTTGTGAAAAACATTAGAGAAATTAAAAGCCATTATTTATTGCATTCAAATATAGTAAGGAATGTAGGTAATGTTGAAAAGCAACAAAATTTATTATCAAAAGTGGTAGACTAAGACAAGACAAAATTATCTGAAAGTTATTGAAGGATTATTAACAATCTTAATTTTTGTTTATAATTACAAAAGTTCGTAAATTTTCATTAAATAATTAAAATTTTTTACAATTGAACTTTTATAATAAATCAGAATTTTCATTAAACTTTATTTATTTATAGCTTTTCTATTTAATTTGTTTATTTTCTTCTTTGTATACAGTTTACAGCCACATGCATTACATAAATAGTTCCCTGTTTCTGAATGACGGCGCCACCTTTTTGGTTGTGTAACACCGCAATTAAAACATTTACGATTTTCCTTAAATTACTTAATGAGAAGTTTCTTTTTATTTGAAGTTTCATTCAATGTTAATTTTAATGGTTAATCTAATGAAACTACATTTCATGGGTATTGTTTGTGTAAAAAAGCTAATTCGTTTAGGATTAGTCAAAACGGTGTTTTATAAGCACGAGCTGTTAAAGATATTGTTTGAATAACTCCGTAATAAACAATTTATTTCGTCATTAAATTACTTTATGAGAAATTATATAACGGTGGTAAATAAAGCATATAAGTTTAATTACTTAAAGAACATTTCGATTAGAACACTATCGGTCCTCAACGTTTGGACAAAAACCTTTCAATAAGTTCAGAATTGGCAAAAGATTCATTTAAAAAGTTTCAGAATAAGAATTTTTAAAAATCGTACTAAATTTTAAAAACGATAACCTTTTTAGTCTTAAACCATAATTCTTTTGATCTAAACTTTCTATATTTGTGTTTATAGTCACCACATTGTTGGCACAAGTAATGTTCTTTTAGATAAATATACCACCGTTTTGTTTGTGTAACACTACAATTGAAACACATTCGGTTATTTATTTCAATTATTCCACCTATAATTATTAAGGAAAATTTTTTAGTCAAATGAAAAGTTAGACAAAGTCAAAAATTTATTTACTTATTTTATTGCCAATATATATAATTTTTCTATCTAATTCCTTCGGATATTCAACTTTTTGTTTTTCTAACAATTCAATTTTATATCCAATTAAATTAATTTCTGTCCAATAATTCGATAAAAGTTTGTTCATATAATCTTCTATACTCTCTTCAATTAAGCTAAAATTCTTTCCACTTGTTATATCCCGGTTCTTCTAATAAGTAATAAATTAAATATCTTCTTTTAAACACTCAAATAATCTCTAACTCAAACAATACTCAACAATTAATTATACACAATTTAATAAAGTTTATTTAAATAAGTTGGGTTTGGTTTGGGGAGCAAGTGTGATCAAGACAAGCTTGAAAATGGTGAAACACAAAAAGTATTTATATGTTTAGGGAATGGGCGGAAGAAGTTCAGACGAGGAAGTTGTAAAGCATAGATAAGAAAGTAAATTATTTAAAATAAATGAGAGTAAGTTTTAAGATCAAAGTAAATGTTTGTTTGAGGGAATGTTTTGAATATTTAGAATGGGAAAATAGATAACAAACATTTACAGCACATTTTGGGGTCAATAAATATTTGAAAATAATACATATTTTAAAAATAAATATTTAATGTCGAAATGAGGATCCAACACTCCTTTCCCCTTTAGAAGAATATTCGCCTAATTGTTGAGACATGTATCCAATACTCCTTTCCCCTTTAGAGAATTGATGTCCATATTTTCTTGAGTTGTTTACATTATCCATCAATCATATTCTCCACAAACATGGGTCTTATAACGAAAACGGTTATCAGCCAATTCTTGGCCTCTCTAACGGTTGAGTTGACCGAAGAGGTGAACGATGCGCAAATAACGCACATTTTTATTTCCTCTCCTATTGCAGGGGTTTTAATTATTATTTTTTTTCTTTCTCCGCAATGTTGAGCGGGATTTAAATTTTTAACCGTTTTGCATATTGTATGATTTTGTTGATGGGCATTTTTTCATTAGATCTCTCCTAAAAAGGAGGAGGTAGTATTTTGATGAAGCTATGCGTAGTTCATTTTTTTTTAATTACATATAAATCATTCTTCTTTACGATCTGGGGATTTGTTGTTTGTTGTTTATCTTCTTTTTGTTGTAGATCCATAATTTTCCAAGTTCATCATTAAACAAAATAATTACAATTCCAAAGAAAATTTACAAAATAGAATTAAATGAATATATTGGGGTAAGGAAGAATAAGAAAAGATAACAAACAAAAATTTTAAATATTTGATTATGTTGATGAATGAAAAATATATATATTTTAAAGAATTCCTTTTAAAATCTCAGTCATTTCTGACTGGGTTAGAGCTGCGAAATTCTCAACCTATGTTGGTCTTTATGCGCAATTCTAAAAGCTCCGCTTTCCCTTTCAACTATAGTTTGAATGCGATGTCCTCTCGGATTATAATCCGGATTACGGTAAAAACAGATACTGGCAATATGCCCTTTTTTCTTGCAATAATGACATATTATATTCTCTTTTTCAGACTTTTTGGTCTTTAGATCATCTAGCATTCTTGATATTTTATCTAATTCTCTGCAACTAATTAATTTATACTCAATCGGAATTTTAATAAGCTCCCAGTTGGTAAAATTCAACATAAGGGGTAAGCAACTTAATGTTTCTCTACCAATAATGGCGCTATATGTTTGATTCTTTCTCTCGGTATCCTTAATAATTACAAAATTTGTTTGAATTTTGCACTCAGCAATTTCTAACTCGACTGTAGCCTGACCTAGAGTCGGTACTAATTTATTGCCAATACCGTAAACTGCTGGAAAATTTGCAGCGGACATATCTTTTAGACCAATTTTCTTGGCATTGGAATTACTAATAATTGATGTGTGCGCTCCAGTGTCTAGTAAACATATGGTCGTTATTCCGTTAATTTTAGTTAATATTCTGGAATTTTTGTCACACTGGGTATTTTCCGCAACGCAAATTCTAATATTATTTTGTCTATTTTTATTTAAATCTCCTCTTACAATTTTATTCCTAGAGGGCCATCTTTTAGAAAGTGATATTTTATTCTCTTTTAACTCACTTTTATTTGATTTAATTTTGTTCTTAATTTGTCTAATACATTTCATTCTTTTATTTAACTTTCTATAACTCTTTATTCTACTATATATTGCTTCTCCAATATTTAAATAATTTATTGGGCCTGCTAAGATCGAACGTAAAACAAATTTTAATACAAATAGAACTGTAACAAAACAGCTAAAGACTAATATCCTAAATTGGTTTACTGTCTCATCTCTCTGTATATAGGTGTCAAAAAAGCCTCTGCATTTATTTACCTCCGTTTTCGCATATTCATTTTCAAAAGCAGGAGTTTTATTTTTTAATATATTAATATCTCCTATAGTAAATTTAGGGAATATCGGATCATTTGGTAATCTCCATATTGGAATGGATGCATCATTAAAGCAACTCAAAGCTGATCCTGTTAAACAGAATAATGCGAGAATTACAAGCATATATGGGCTAAAAGTCCCAATTCTAGGACTTCGATTTCTCTCAAATTTAATTCTTCGATCTGGCGATCGATTATAGTGATTATTTGATCCTTGTTCTGGCGAATTATTTTCTCGCTCACTGCTACTTGAGTGGCTATCTAGGCTACTTGAGCTATCGTAACATTTATAATTTCTTCTTTTATTGTTTGATCTATTATTATAATTTTCATCTCTATAAGGTCTATTCTCGTTAAAATTATTATAATTTCTACTATAACTTTGACTATTATGTCCTAATTGACTAGTAAATCTCCCATAGTGTTGGGGTCTGTAATTTCTCTGATTGTAATCAGGCTTAAGGAAATAGCAGTTCCTAGCAAAGTGACCTCTTTTCTTGCAATTAAAGCAGATAATTTTTTTCTTTTTATTATTCTGAATATTACTTTGAATAGTCAATGCTTCTACTTTTTCTGCTAGATTTGCAGCAAAAATATTATTATAGCTATCTTTTCTTGCTTTAAGCAGCAATTCATAATTCAGTGCTATTTCGTACGCATTATCATATTCTAGCGGCCTTTGCGCTTTAACCTCGAATTGTAAATCCGGTAAAAGTCTATCCAGGAATTCGTCTAAAATTCGTTTTTTAATGGTTTCTTCCTCTTCACCTGAGAGGGCAGTTCGGACAGTATCCGATAGACGATTTGCGAATTCAAATACTGATTCGCCTGGAGCTTGTCTACAATTTGATAATTTTTGACGAGCAATTATTTTACTATTGCCGCTCTCATATTTTCTTTTTAAAATATTAATTGCCTCCGCCAACGTATTAGGTTGCGGGTCTATTTCATCAAACGCTATTCGGGCTTGACCCGCTAAACAAAAGCGTAAACGTAATAATTTCTGCCCTTCAGTAGGCTCCGTCATTAGTGACAACACGTCTTTAAATTTTTCTATCCATTTATTGAAAGATACTGTGGGATTTCCGTCAAATGTACCCACCACAAATGCTCCATTTCCTATAAATGGGTCAGTAACATAAGCTTCTCTATTATCTCTAGTATCATTATTATCAGTCTCATTCGCATCACGAATGCTTATATCCGATTCGTCTTCAGAACTGTCTTCCTCCTCCTCAAAATTTTCATATCTTTTATTTTTATAGTTCTTTCCTAATTTAACAATTGTATTCATTGTCTCTTCAAAATTCGTTTGAAGGTCTGTCACATTTTTACGTAATTTCGTTATTGAGCCTTTTGTTCCTGAAAGGCTATCCTTATCCTTTTTTACACTTTCCTCAATGGAATCTAATCTTTCTTCAACGTGGCGAAAGCTTTGAGCCACGGAGCGCTCAAAGGAGCGAAGTTGTCTTAAAATCTTATCAAATGCCTTATTTTCTTCGTCACTGAAAAACTCAGCCGCAAAATCAGAACCTGACATTTTTTTTCTTCTTCAAATTTTAATCAAAAATATTTTTTCCCAAATCACTTTCACTATTTATCACTTCTTTTTTTCAATCTAATTTCTTTTTTTTTTTAACTTTTTGTTATCCAGACCAATTCTTCTTTTAATTTAATCTTCTCTTTAAATTTTTCTTCTTCTACTTTTTTCAATACAGTCTCTTTTTTTACTAAAATTCGTCTTTTTTTTTGCACTATAATCTTTTTTCTCTTCTTTTTTTAATCAATTTTTCACTCAAAAATTTCTTTTTCTTCTTCTAAATTCCTCAAATAAAGTCACTTCAAAAAAATTTAAATTAATTTTTTTTCAAAATTAATCTCCGTTTTAATTCGCAACGGGGTCGTGGCACCAGTGTTATATCCCGGTTCTTCTAATAAGTAATAAATTAAATATCTTCTTTTAAACACTCAAATAATCTCTAACTCAAACAATACTCAACAATTAATTATACACAATTTAATAAAGTTTATTTAAATAAGTTGGGTTTGGTTTGGGGAGCAAGTGTGATCAAGACAAGCTTGAAAATGGTGAAACACAAAAAGTATTTATATGTTTAGGGAATGGGCGGAAGAAGTTCAGACGAGGAAGTTGTAAAGCATAGATAAGAAAGTAAATTATTTAAAATAAATGAGAGTAAGTTTTAAGATCAAAGTAAATGTTTGTTTGAGGGAATGTTTTGAATATTTAGAATGGGAAAATAGATAACAAACATTTACAGCACATTTTGGGGTCAATAAATATTTGAAAATAATACATATTTTAAAAATAAATATTTAATGTCGAAATGAGGATCCAACACCACTCTTGTCCAATATTGAAGTTTCATAACAAATATTATTTTCAATAAAATTATTATTTCGGAGTACCTTAAATTTAACACAAAATAAAGTAGTTATGGACCCGATTTCCATTTACTTGCTTTTGCTTGTTTCTTTGCTAGCTAGTTGTGAAACTTTGGAATGGGAATTCTAAAAAAAATATACCATTTTTTCGAACCCAGGCAGGAAATTTTGAATTATTTCATTGTTAGTAATTTCAATTAAAATTTTCTTTTTTAACTGAGCAGATGGATTATATTCTGATCTATCACTTATTTCAACTTCAAACATATTTTTATCTAGATTTAAGTTAATTGAACGCAAATATCCCTCTATATTTTTAATAAAACTTTCGTGTTGATTATTTTTCTTTTCAATTACTTTGATCACAAAACGATCCTTTATTTCAACATTTTTTAAATAAATAAATTCTCTTTTTTCTTCCCAATCATCCTTGATTTTCAGTTCAACGTGAATGAGTTTCCCTGTGCATTGAATTTTCAAAAATATAATTAAATATATGAAAATGATAATATTAAATTTAATCATCTTAAATTTAGAAAATTTATTCAGAAAATGGCCGGTAACATGTAAACGTGTTTGCTTATTCCTTTAGAAATAAATCGACGATTATGTGCAAGTGTTAGGAGCAGGGCTGCTATAGGCAATTTCGGATTGCGAATTGCGGGTTTCGTAAATTGCGGGAGTTTTTGCAATTGAGAGTTGGGATTGCTTTTGCGGATTCTTGGCCACTTTTAAATAATTACCCTCTCCCTTTTAATTACCCCTCCAGCGAGAGTTTGAAATAATAATCACCCTGGGTAATTATTTTAGCAAATGCTTTTAATAAATAGCGCTGTTATTTAATATTAATAAATAACAAAAATTTTTTTTTTATTTCTCAATGTATTTAAAAATAAATAAGGTAACATTTTAGATATTAAATAAATACACATAGATGCGCACATCAATCAAACACAAATTATCGAATAATAAATACCCATGGCAATATACTTAAAGTGCAATTATTAATTTTGAAAGGTCGTCTAAGTAAAAAATAAATAAATAATAAAGCGGTATATTTTAAAATTTCTTTAATGTTTATCAAGTAAAAATGATAAAGTACTTTAACAATTTTGAAAGAATCTGTTTGTTTACTGAATTAACATGTTGAGGATTTTAAATAAATTTTAATAAAATATTGTAATTATTTCCGGAATATGTCTAAAGGAAAAATGTACTTTTTACAGTAAAAAAAGAAAAATAGAAGACCGCTAAACTTTTTCAAGGAGAATAATACCTACTACAATTAAATCATCAATACAATTAAAATCATCAATTCGATAGAAGTTTATTTCAAAATTTCTTTGAAGTTGTATATATGTATTTTAATTACTCTTAATTAACATTAAAGAAATTTCAAAATTTCCGGCTTAATATTTATATATTTTTTATATAAAGAAGCGACATTTCGAAATTAATATTTGCCCTTTGATTAATTACCATGGGATTTTTATCAATCGAAGTCTAGTATTGCTTTGATTGCTTTACCCTCTAAAACTATTTATTTAGCATTTCCTAATAGTTAAATACAATACATTATTCATTTTCTATAAAATATTAAAAAATTAAAAATAATTTTATTTTGTTAAAAATTCTTTAATATCTCTTCAAATCACACGATATCCATTCAGAGCCGTATGTAAAAATTTTATGAATTTAGGAAGTCCAGGAAGAACCTCTTTTTTATTTGCGCCCCAGCAAAACTTTTGCGAATTTTGGAATTAAAAAATTGCTTTAATGAACAGCATTCCCCAGTGTATTAAAAAAATTTCAAAATTATGTGAGTAAAATTCTTACGTTTTGGCACGCCAAAACAAATAAATCAAGCCAATCGTCAGAACGCCAGAATGTCATGTTGCACATCTCTGCTCGATATTTGAGTATCCCAGTGGTCTTCAAAATCTCCTTTCTAAAAAAATATCAAATGAAATTTTAACTGGCTTATTACAAAAAATTTCAGATGATTAAATTCAATTTAATCATACTTTTATATTTAATTATTTTATTAAATATTCATTGCAATGGAAAAACAATACGTATTTAGGTAAAAATTAAAGCTGATTGGGAAGAAAAAAGAGAATTTATTTATTTGAAAAATGTTGAACTGAAGAAGCGTTTTCTGTTGAAAATAATTGAAAAGAAAAACAATTTTAGATATTGTAGTCCAGATTATAATATGGAAGGATTTTTGCATCCAGTTGAATTAAATCTTGAAAAAAATATTTTTAATGTTAATATAAATGACAGGACATATATCCCTGCTGTTCAATTAGAAAAAAAAGTTTTAATTGAAATTGCCAATAATGAAATTTTTCAAAGAATTTTGCCTGAATGTGAAAAACGGGTAATAAAGATTAGAAACTCCTAATGCTGTTAAGATATACTTATAATTCTACTATCAAAAAGTGACTAGATAATGTAACAGAATGTCAGGGGATTCGGGGTGATATCAGTGGATTAGGTGAATAATATTTGAATAATTTATATGTTAATTTTAGGCACTAAGATATAATAATTTTACTGAGAAGGATAATTTCTATGAAACTTCTATATTATATGAGAGTTTAGAAAATACAAAAATATATAAGAAAGAATTATTAAAAGAAAACATAGAAAATTACAGAGACAAACTTTTATCAAGTTATTGGACTGAAATTAATTTAATTGGATATAAAATTGGATTGTTAGAAAAACGAAAAGTTGAATATACGGAAGAATTAGACATAGTGTACTTAAAGAACATTACTTGTGCAAACAATGTGGCGAATATAAGCGCAAATATGGAAAGTTTAGATCAAAAGAATTATGGCTTAATCCTAGAAAGGTATCTTTATAAATATTTGGGATGATTTTGTGAGATTCTTTTTTATATTTAAAAAAATCTCCATATACTGTAGTATAGAAAATTATTTGTTTTTTACACATATAAATTCGTTTAGTTGAATACATTCAATTTAATGCTATAAATGTATAAATTAATGGGCAAATACCTATAGGTCCTCGAAAGTTTTTTTCGTATATTTTTATTGATAATTATAATTTAAATATTTATGTTTCAATCATTTCCATATAAATATTTCAGCGATATACACAATTTCGAAGTTGCTGTAATTGCGGTATAAAACAAACGTCACAATTGTACCGTGATTCAATTCCTGAAAACGATTTGTGTAATGCATGTTACAATAAACAATATAGGACAAGGACGAAAACAACTAAAAATTTAAAGGATAATGAATCGAATAAATATATTTGTAATGACTAGTGCACTAAATAAAACAAAGCATAAATTAAATTAATGCTCATGCCGTGGACAAAAGAATATTTTTAAAAAATGTAATTTTTATATAATTTTTCCAAATCGTTTGTATTATCTAATTTTATTTGATATCTTGTCGTTGCAGCAACTTTAAATTTTATTCAAAATGTCAACATATATCTATGGATCAAATTGTAACAAGATTTTACTTCATTAATATATTTTTTCTTTATTAACTCCTTCCTGCTGACAGAGTTTATTACATTTAAATTTTAATTTATCATAATTTAATATTTTATAAATTTTTATTTAAAATACATAAAAACTTTTTGGTAAATTTTTTATTGTATCATTGTGATTTTTGAAGATTTTTAAATATTAAATATTTTAATAATTTAATAATTTAAATAATTTTAAATATTTTTTGAAGACAAAATAGAATAAAAAAGAGTAATAAAGCAAACTGACTGAGACAAGGACTGAATGATAAATTGTATACTAAAAGAAAGAAAATACCCAATAGAAAAATAGGTTATAACCAGACTTGCACACGGATACTTATCTTGGTATCCGTATCCGGATATTTACGGCGGATACGGGCGGATACAGACGGATATCCGCAGGCATTTTGATATTATTTGTATCCGTATCCGTGTGCAAGTCTGGTTATAACGTAAAAATCCAATCCCTTGTATAATTAACAATTTCAGTTTAATTTTAGTTAAGCTTTTAAATTAAATTAAATTTTTGTTCATATTTCCCTTCTCAGATTCAATGATGTGCTTTCCACCACTTCAAAATAAAAACCACGATTGTCGCAATTATGCCAAGCGTAATTATAATCCAGGCTATTAAACAATTATATTTTCCATGGCAAAATCCATCTCCACTATTTTCATTCCCAAAACAACCCGAGCTTCCATCATCAGCGCGCTTGCGACGAGTCAAAAATTGTTTAAAATTTATTCGCTTATGCTCTAAAAGAAAAATAAGTAGTTTGAGTTACTAGCCTGATCATTTTTTATTTTCAAATAAAATTAGGTAACGCAAAATAGTAAACTATTTGAACCCATGCATGATGGCTTAATTTAATATTTTTAATTCTTTGCACTTTTCGGCTTGCCTAGATAAAAATCCCGCTCGTTTGTAAATGATTTTTTCTAATCCATTCCATGTTATAATCAATTTTTTGCATTTTGTTATTTCTTGAATTAATAAAAATCACTTACTATATTTTTCGACTTCCTGCTTCTTCCCTCAAAAGCATCCGAACTTGGCCGGGATTTTAAAATTATAAGCAATTGATTTCCAAATTGAAATGGCCTCATCAAATATATTTTCCTCCACTCCGTAGCTTTTTGCAAAATGTACCCACAACCTACATATTAAAAACTCCAGTCAAATAGTTCATGTCATATAATTTTTTTCCTCTATGAGTTTTCCATTTTGTAATTTTTCTTGAATTTTGCCATATTTTTTATCATTGAAATTGTTGAAAAGTGTTAGGGATGTTTCTTTGACATTTTTAATGTTATCAAATGCTTCTTGCAAGTTCGAAGCCTTGGCAATGACAAACAAATTGTTGAGGTCCTAAACGTTTTTGTAGATTTGTGAAATTTTATAGTCAATAAGTTTGGAGTCATGCCTATTAAAAAGAGATAGATTTGTTTAGAGCTCTAAGATTCTTAATGACACTAAGATCGGGTAATGTAACCAACTCAATATCCCTTTACTGTTATTTGGACCATATGACCAGAGATTATATTTTAGATCTCATTTTGTTTTCCAGAAATTACATTTAAAATTTAATACGAACGTAATTTAAACCTACATAATTAATGTGTAATTTCTTCATTTCTTCCTCAATGATTCCCAACTTTTGTTTAATCTGACAAACTTCTTCCAAGTTGTCCATTTTTCCATCGCCTTTTCCACAATGACTTCGACTGTTAACTCCAACAAAATTAAATAGGAATAGTGTTAAAATAATTTTTATTTTCATTCCTAAGAGCTAATATTAAGTTAACTAGCTTGAGATTTTAACGATAATTTTGCTTAACTGAAATCGTATAAGGTAATTAAAGTAAATAAAAACTAAAATTTTGGTTGAAAGTAATACATTAGGGTTTATAAGCGCGATTATTTCCTACAAAATACCATTAAGAGTAATTAATAAAATTGAAATCCTCAAGTACAATAACCTTATCTGAGTTACTGGTCATTTTTCTTAATTTTTGCTTCTTATAAAAAGAATTTGCCGTAGCATAAAAGAGGAGAATATGGAGGATTTATCGTAAAAGAGGAGGAGCAAGATGTTTGTTTACTAAATTCCGACATAAAGTGCAAATCAATCTCATGCCTTTAATTGATTTAAATTTATTTAACTATATTTCCCTTTGTGACTCTATTAATAAGCATGATGCAATATTTTGACATTTAATTTTGAAATGCCGAGTGCAAGAGAATTTTAAGATGTCAATAAATATATTGAATATTCTTAAATTATTAATGTCAGCTATTGCTGCGTTGATAAAATTTTTTATCCGCCTTTCAGGTTAACTCCCATGATTTTAAATGCTTAACTTATCATTAGTTGTATCTGTTGAAATTTGAAATAGTGTTACACATGACTCTAGAATTGATACCTACACTTTTATTTTTCCCGTTCACGATAATCATTCTCAGAGACACTTGTTTATTTAGTATTTTAGTATTTTCTGCTACCCCCAGGGTTGTTTGATTTTGACGTACAAAAGATTTTGACGTTTTGCATCTTCCGACAAAAGAAAACTTTGATGTATTCTATATATGATTTATAAAGAGTTTCATCAGTTATAAATATTACTTTGTTTATTTTTTAAAAATTTATTTTTAAAAAATATTTTATAAAAAACAATAAGAAATACAAAAAGTGGAAATTACAAAATTTAATCTCTTTGTAAATGTTTTATGCCGCCCAAAAACAACACCCTCTAAAAATTTAATTTAAAAACGGCTACTAATTATGCCGAACATAAAATTTGAAAATAATTTGGAAGGCAATCCATTGCAATACATTATAAATGAATATAATAATAAAAATAAAAGTTATATAGTCATCGAACTTTTCTTCCATTAAATAACCTTCATATAACAACTTATTTATTTATTTTGTAAATAGCGGCATTTCAAATAAATATTTGCACGTTTTATATTTCTAAAAAAATATTTTGAACTATTTAAAACTAATCATTAAACGAGTCAAAGTAAAATAAGTGCAAATTACTTTATTTATCCCGCCGATTGACAAATAAAAATAAAGTACAATTTCAAAATATTAAATGACATGCGGACTAATCATATGAATTTTTCATTAAAAATAAAGTGCAAATATTTATTTTTAAACGTCTTATATATGTATTTAAAATAAATAAAGACAGTATTTAAATTAAGACTATTTAATTAAATTATTTAATTCATCTATTATATTTGTTTTAATAGAATATTTTTAAAATTAAAATTTAAAATGAATAAATTTATTATAATTGTTCTTTCCTATTTGGTTGTTCTGTTGAATATCCAAATCAAAGGTAAAATGGTTGAGGTTGTATTAAAAATAAAAGACGATTGGGAAGAAAAAAGAGAATTTATTTATTTAAAAAATATTCAAATAAGGGAACGTTTTGTATTGATAATGAATGTAAAACAAGGAAGTAGAATAGTTGATTATCTTTATAAGAATATTGGATCGTTGTGTAAAATTGAAATAGATCATGTTAATAAAGTTTTTATTGTTAAACTATGTCAGGGGCCTAAATTTATCTCTCAATTAAAAAAGAGAATTTTGATTGAAATTGCCAATAATGAAATTGTTAAGAAATATTTGAAAAACTTGGAAAAACAGGTTTAATATATTATAGATAAACAAATTTAATATATTATAGATTCGCCTAAATAATAATTTTATCATAAATAATAATTATTATGAAACTTCGATATTAGAAGAAAATTTAGAAAAAATGAATAAAAAAGAATTATTAAAAGAAAATATAGAAAGTTACAAAGCCAAACTTCTAAGAAGTTATTGGACGGAAATTAATTTAATTGGATATAAAATTGAATTGGTAGAAAAACAAAAAGTTGAATATCCGAGAGAATTAAAGGATAAAATTATTTATATAGGCAATAAAATAAGTAAATTTAGTTAATTGGATTTATTAGCGTATTTTTAAATATTTGTTGTTAAAATTTATAGATGTCATTAATAAAATATACAGACGACAATGTTTCAATTGTGAAACTACACTAACTAAGAACTGGTATGAATACCTGAAAGAGGATCATTATTTGTGCCAATCATGCTACATATATAATCAAAGGAATAATGGAAACCACAGACCAAAAGAATTGTGGAATAAAATTAAAATGGTTTTTCTTTAACAAAAACTACATATTATGATAATTCTAAAATATTTACTATTCAATCAAATTCTTATGTAACTCAGTTCGGACTCATTTACACAGTTTGACTAAATCGACATTTGCCCTCTCTTTAAAACTAATATTTTCGGAAATTTGTATAGTTTAATAAATAATTCTTGATGATAGTGAACATTTATAATTGCGCATAATTTTTCTACAAATATTTAGATAAACACACAAGATCGGAATTGTACACTTTGCGATGTTACTCATACACCACACTGGTACCGTCATTCAAAACCAGGACACTATTTATGCGCTGCTTGCTACATTAAACAGAAAAGAATGAATTAATCAAATAACGAAGGCAGGTGGTTGTTTGTGCTTTAAAATTTAGTTTACTTTGATATTATAGATCGAAGTTGAAGGCGGATACAATTTGGAGAAGTCATACTACACAAACGATGAATGGATAAAAATGAGTATAAAATAATATAACCATTGTTATTAATTTTCAATTATATTTTTTTACTGCTTGACTTTTTTGCTTTTTTAAAAAAATTCCCCTCTTTTTCATGTATTATATTTAATTTATTCGATTCCTTATCATTTAAAATTTTATTTTCCATCTTTCCATCTTTTCTTCTTTTTTATTTTTGATAAATATTGTCCAGGTTTTGAAAGGTCAACCCATATTTTGTTTGTTTAATTCCGTAAATATAATAATGTCGATCCTCCTTAAATAAATTTTATTATATCAGTATTATTTAAAATAACTTTTCCGTATACAAAATAGATGTTGAAGGAAGGTGTAAGGAAAAAATTGGAGCGAATCGAATGATTTAATATTTTTGAATAACTACTTTTAGCAATATTCTATTACATGTAAAAGAGCCCTAGTTTCTTACATACACGTTCTGTCTCTAGATAATTAATTTTTGATGATTTTTAGTTGAATTAAAAAAATTCGTCATTGATGCATAATGCTTTATGTATGTGCATTTTTTGAGTTTTGCGAAGAGTTTGGAGAGAAAAAACAATATTAAAAAAACTTTTTAATAAAAACAAATGAACTGGTCATGAACAAATTATTTATTTAACTCATTTCAGTAAAGCAAGCAGAAATACGGTAATTAAAATTATTTTTCCATTACCTTAATTTATCACAAACATTTTTATAATTTAAATGAAATTGACAATTATGAAAATATTATCCAGGTTGGAAGTTTTGACTAAAACGGATTATTCTCGAATACCCGATGATGGATGTCCCTGAAGGGGACCTCACGGAGAAATCTGGAATTGTATAGCAAAAACTTTATTCATGATTATGCCTGGAATTACTGCATATCTCTCCTAAACAACTTTTTCAGAGTAAAATTTTTTGCTTTTCTACTCCTATTTTCTTTCATCTTGCCTATGATTCAAAGTCAAAAAGTTAAATCATATGAAAATAAATCATAAGATTTTAATTAATCAATGTCTCTCCCTCCCTGTCTATTAAGCCCTCCCTGTCCTCCCTGTCTATTGACTCCCTCCCTGTCTATTAAAAATCTTTAAAAAATTTTCCCTCCTCGCTGCTTGTATGTTAATTCGCTTGAAAGCCTATCCTCTTTTTTGCCTTTACTCATAGCTATCAGTCTCCATTATTCAATAGTCTTTAAAATTTTTTTCAATTGTTAAAAGAAAAAATGAATACTTCAATATGGTTGAGGATCCTAGAAAATTTTTATAAATTTTTAGTGTTTTACACGTTAGTGCAGTTCTAAATTGAAAAATAGTATGCGAAACGTATAATCCGCATAGATTCCAATTGTAGATAGTAGTGATGCTCGGGAGAAGAAAAGACTTGGGATCAGGAGTCAGTTCCGGAAATGACCTCGTGAGTCGGGATCGGGAGTCGTGAATTTTTAATAATTTTATACAAATGTTAAAAAATTTTCTAAACATCAAAAATAAATATTCATTTAAATTTACTGCCCATTTCTACTTATAAAGTTTTTACAGTAAAAAGGTTTTCTATCCTTATCTCTTCTATTTTGTCTGTCATTAGCTGTCAAAAATCACAAGCTAGTTAATCAAATTCAGCTGGAAATTTTTTATTCTTACATACAATGGCGGAAATTTAAATAGGGAAACGGTAAACTCTATGTAATTCCGTTCATCTTTATCCGATCTGGCAGTTCTAAATTTTAAAAAATAGCTTAATTCCTATCTCACTTGACATGTTTCAGCGTTTTTCAAAATTCTGATAATTTCGAAAACTTTTCGACCGGTCTAACAGGTACTACATTTTCGACTTTTTGGAGAAATTTTTTTGAAGCCTGTAAAAAATATATGTGATTCACTTCTAGATTCTGAATACAATGCAAAAAACCGCATCTACCGAGTTATGAATTTTGAAAATCGAAAAACACTCATTTTTGCATTTTTTGTCGATTTTTTTTTTGCAAAAATGGGTGTTTTTCGATTTTCAAAAATTCATATCTCGGTAGAATTTCGACCGATTTTGATGCGGTTTTTTGCATTGTATTCAGAATCTAGAAGTGAATCACATATATTTTTTACAGGCTTCAAAAAAATTTCTCCAAAAAGTCGAAAATGTAGTACCTGTTAGACCGGTCGAAAAGTTTTCGAAATTATCAGAATTTTGAAAAACGCTGAAACATGTCAAGTGAGATAGGAATTAAGCTATTTTTTAAAATTTAGAACTGCCAGATCGGATAAAGATGAACGGAATTACATAGAGTTTACCGTTTCCCTATTTAAATTTCCGCCATTGTATGTAAGAGGAAAAATAAAAAATTTCCAGCTGAATTTGATTAACTAGCTTGTGATTTTTGACAGCTAATGACAGACAAAATAGAAGAGATAAGGATAGAAAACCTTTTTACAATAAAAACTTTATAAGGAGAAATGGGCAGTAAATTTAAATGAAAAAAAAAATTATCACACATACAAAGGATCGGAAAACATACAAAGTATCGATTAAATGATAGATGAATCAAAGGATAGATACGCTAAAGGATATATAGCAGAGGTGTCCGCAAGTGGAAAAAATTTTCCGCAGCCGCATTTTTAATTTTAAAATCCGCAGTCCGCAATCCGCAATTTTTGAAATAATTTGTAGTCTGGGAAAATAAGTGGATTTGAAGTATTTTGGAAGCCTCCATGTGATATCAGTGATTTGGAGGGATATAGAAGATTATGAATTTGAAGGTATTCATAGTAATTCCAAATATAATAATATCACCTTAATCCTCCGATTTCCTCTTCAAATCCGACTTTTCACTTTAATCCACTGTTGGTGATTATAGGGATATCGACAGAATTTGAGTTAATCCTCCGATATCAATAAAAATGTCTTTTCTTCTTTTCAAGCGCCACAGGCGAAAATTTGAGAATTTTGAAAAGCCAACAAGCCAGATTTCTTTCTTTTTTACCGCCGGAGGCAAAAATTTTGAGAATTTTGTAAGGTAGGCAACCAGATTTCTTTTTTTACCGCGGAGCCGAAAATTTTGAGAATTTGTGTTGACAAGGAGCTAAATTTCTTCTTTTTCTAGTGCCGCAGAAGAAAATTTTGAGAATTTTGGAAGGCCAAGGAGCAGAATTTCTTCTTTTTTCAGCGCCGAAGGCGAAAATTTTGAGAATTTCGAAAGGCCAAGAGGCAGATTTTTTCATTATTCACTGCCGGAGGCGACTCTCCGGGCCCGGCAAAAAATTACCGGGCCCGGGACCCGGTTTTTTTATTCAAAATCGCACCCGGGCCGGTTTTTCCGGATAAAACCGGAAAAACCGGTTAGCCCGGAAAACCGGATTTTCTCAAAAATACCCGGTTCCGGGCCACCGGGCCCGGAAAAAACCGGTCCGGGCCCGGCCCGGGTTCGAACTCTACTATTAACTCTCCAAACTCCCCTCTTTCTTCATTTTCTTCCCTCTATCCCTTCTTTAACCCTTGATTAATTAATAATCGACGACTATATGACATTCACATGCCTCCTGTATATTAAAAATCTTTAAAAAATTCTCCCTCCTTGCTGCCTGTCTATTAATTCCTTTGCTAGCCCTATCTCCATTATTCACCCTGAATAGCTATTGCCTTTAAAATTTTTGCCTTTAAAAATATTTAATTGCCTCTAAACATTTTTTAAATTCTTAATAAAAAAGTAAAAGATCTCCTATTATGGTTAAGATGGTTGGAGATTTTTATAAGTTTTAGGGTTTCCATACGCAGGGACAAGGATTTGAAACGACAAAATAGTATCCAAAACGGTATACAAGCAAAACAGCATCTTCTAAAATATCGTCCGTGCCAGAAGTCCGTTAAGATAAGACTCCATTCAGACAAAATTCCACTTTTCAAAATATTGTCCAAGACTAGGAGAAGCTTTTCCAACTACTGGGAAAAAACACGTTTGGATTGAATAACATTGTTGGAAAAACCTTCCCTCTTTTCCTGAACAGTATTATATCTAGATGCTGTTTTGC